ACGGGTCCCGTCCACCATGGAGTAAGACTGCTCGAGAAAAACACGATTGAGGTGGGTCGTGGAGATAGAGGCAAAGAGAGCGAGAGACGGAGAAAGAGGAACCGAGAGAGAGAGAGAGAGAGAGAGAGAGAGAGAGAGAGAGAGAGAGAGAGAGAGAGAGAGAGAGAGAGAGATAGGGAGGGAGATTAGGGAAAGCGTTCACCTTAGCGGGGTCACAATTTCGAAGCCTTGCTACGTTAACATAATTATGATGGGGAGGGGGTGAAAAGGACGGGGAGGTAAATCGCAAGCGAGTCGTCCAGGTGAAAATGACACTGCTATACGGCAGCACAAGAAAAAAACAAAAATGCGAGCGAATAAACAACCGATTGCGGCGCGCGTCGCAGAAGCAGCCACCGCACAACACCATCCTCAATTCCACAGAAAAAAACTATGCGTACCTCTGCTGACACTCCCGAGTCGCCGCCAATAAGCGACATGGCTGCACTCAGGGCCTGCACCCCCTCCAAGGGAACGATCCTGTCCGCCGCGACCCCTCCCGTCCCCTCCTGCGACGCCTGCTCGGCAACGGAAAGGCCGAGCTTCATGAGCAGATCCGCCGCCTGGGGCTCGTACATCCGCACCGACTGTTGCGGAACGGAATAGAGAACGGGGGGGGGCACGGTAAACGGGTTAGAGACACGGAATGGTTTGGGTGCGTAACTGTTGCTCGCTTCGAGTCATCAGGCCATTGATCCCGAGGTCTCCATTGAAGATTAAACGGTCTTCCCCAAGCGAGACTGATAGTTAACTGCGTGACGTAGATTGGCACATCTGCACCAAAATTGGAACCCGAACAGACCAGAGAGAAATAACCAAACGGGCATCAGCATACACCACGGGCGGTGACACCATTTGTAGATGGACGAACCTCTTATCCGGCCGGGTGATGCGGCAAGAATCAACCAAGCACATCTACACGGGCAGGAAAACAACAAACACAAAGACGAAGCCGCAGTAACAACAACCACAGTGCCTCACTGCTGCGCTAACGGACGAAATATTCCTACAGGGGAGGAAAACAAAAAAAACACAGCAAACGCCGGAGCAACAACGATACCGGTAGCTCACCGCTGCGCTAACAGACAGTATCTTCTGCTTGATCTCGCCGGCCATCTCCTCGACATTGCTCGCGCCGCTAGGAGTGCTCCGCCTCAGGCTCTTGAAGGAGTAGTCTCCCTCGAGAGCTGCCAGCTGCGGGAAGGGAAGGGAAGGAGAACAACCACACACGACGAGCATTCGTGGTTCGGTGAGCGTACAGAGTCCGACTCAGTTGTTGAGCGGTGTAAGCGAGCTTCTTACTAGCTCCACGACATCACCCAGTCCCTTCTACAGTTAGTTCCATTTTGCAGCTAATTCTTTCTGCGTGAGCAGCCCGGACCCGGATCGTTCCCCAGAATAAAGACAATTAAACATGAAAAGCAGAACAACATGTGAATATTTTTGGTGGCTTTCATGCGCCGGGCGGCCCTCCTCGTCAACCAAAGAAGACGAGCAACCATAACATGTGACCTAAACACGGGCTGCTGTGCTTCACTACTGTCGTTCCAAGACCCATGTGTTGTGACTAGGAACGCTGCTGTGCTCGACTACATTTGTTCTTCTTGCCTGTCGGTCTTCGACGTTGGAGCACAAGATGATGTTTAGTCCGGCCTTCCCAGCACGACCAGTACGTCCCGACCTGTGCACGAAGCTCTCCTGCGTTGTCCGTACAGTAGGTGAGGGCGGGAAAGGCATCGGCGACGGGGTCAATAAAACATTAACGGCAGCAGCAACACCACCACCAACATAAAAAATGACCGTCCAAGCTACGCAGCGAGACTATTGTACTGCAGACCACTGACAAATATACAAAAATAAAAACAACGTTAATTCTAGTATGCAGCATGTTTTCCTCCATCAACCCTCTTTGTGAACGTCAGCACCCCCCTTCGAATCCGGTACTACTGTCGAACGGGTGAAATGCTGTTCTTCTTTGACGTTTCGTATGCACCTATGTCCAAAAATACACAAGAGACGAAACAAATCGGACACACACCCAATGACTAGAGAGCATGTTCCGTTTTTTATGCCGTAAAAAGACTGACGTCTTTCATTGGTCAGTCGGTTAGAGGGTCGATTCCAATTCAAAACACACACACATCCTGTAGAACACGACACACACACGCCCCAGTTAATGGCATTTGCAAGTGTTTCGTGTTTTCAACCGCACTGAAACATGCGTCTTTTCATTGGTCAGCCGGTTAGCGCGGTCGATGACAACAACAAATACACACACACTCACACTCACCTTCTCATTGGGGAGTCGGTAGTGGAACACCATGTCCACCCCGGGGATGTCGAGGCCGCGAGCCGCCACGTCGGTAGCGACGATCATCTGGGCAGCCCAAGACAAGACAGACAGCAGCAGTGGGTTATAACACACACAACCCACACACATACAAGTGAGTCTTCTCCGTTTGCAAGGACTCTAATTCCGGAGACTGACTGTATCCTCTCGTCCAACTCCGCCGGCGTGCTTCCCCCTGCCGTAAAGACACGCATCACATCACATCGCTACAAGGCTTTCGTTGGCAAGCCGGCTAGAGTGCGGCCGATGCTAAACTAAACATAACGAAACTTGTGTTGAGATGTCAACTCAGCTTTAAGTCAGCTATAAGTCAGTTGTAAGTCAGCTATATAGCTGCCCCCGAAAACCAGCTGCCCTCCCTCTGCTAGCTGTTTACCTTCCACAACAACTCAAATATTTAGGCCACGGCACATGATTCGCTGCCACCAAGATATTTCTTTTCATCTTGCGTCACCCCTCGATGACTCTCACTAGCCCACTCCGGAGGATTAGATGGATAGCACCCTTCAACCTCACTACGGACAAACCCATCGTGACATCATTCCGCACTTTGATGCACACATAGGACAAGAAATTGCCCGAAATCCGCAAGAAAACAGAAGCAAAGATATTTCAACAGATTCCTTTCGACGACGGTAACATCTTCCTCCGATTGCATGGATATTTTCATATTTTCTAGACGAAAAAAAAAAAAAAAGGAGCAAAGAGGGCCCCCGTCGGTAGCCTTCGCGGCAGGTTTTGACTATCAAACACACATGTTGGATAAAGCATAAAGCATAAAGCATGCATGCAAAATCTGGCAAGTTCGGTTACCGTTAAGAGGTCAATCTGGGAAGTTCGGCTAGCGTTAAGAGGTAGGGAAAGGGCGTGCGCCCCCCCTGCCTGTTCTATTTTTCATATTTCCTCAACAGTCGTGGCTCCGATACAAGAGGGCGGTGTGACAAAGGCCCTCGACCCTCTTATATCGGAGCCCCCTCTTGTACCGGAATAAGAGGGTCCCCAGCTATACTATACTGGGTCGAGTTCGTGACAACATATTTTGAGGTGCCCTCTAATTACGGGACCGCGACTGCCATACAATTGTAGACCAATTTCAAAGCTCGATAACGCCACGACGAAGAGGATGAATAAATGAAACAATACATCTTCGGAAAGCTCTCGACGAGACAGGATCAACACCACCGTTTTCGGCGCTGTGACTCTTTCTGTTGTTGAGAAATCGAGATTTGAAAATCGCTCCAGGGTGTGTGTTATCTTGTGTCATTTACGGTAATTTCTCGCGAAGGCGGTCCGCCTCCGTACCTTGGTGCGTCCACTCCTGAATCGACCGAGGCACGCTTCGCGGGCCGCCTGCGTCAACCCTCCATGGAGAGCCTCCGCACCCAGGCGGCTGAGAGCAGGGTGGGTGCACAATTCATCCACCTCAGCCTTGGTCTGGTGACGGAAATAAAATAATAATAAGGCGTTTTGGTTCGCGGGGGGGGGGGGGGGGGGTTTCCTCCTACACCAAAACCAAAAAAATGGTTTTTTTAACCCCCCGGGGGAAACCGGTGGGAACCCACCCCACCCCAAGAAAACCGGGGTTTCCCCCCCGCCCCCCTTTTTTCCGCCGGGGGAACCTTTTTTGGGGAAACACCTGGGAAAAAAAAACCGAAAACTAACCGGAGGGGGGGGACCTCCCCCAAAAAAACCCCTCCCAAAAACCCCTCCCCCAACCAACGACTGCCAAAACCCCGAAAAAAAAATTGCAAGGGGCGGCCAAACAACCAAAACAAAAACCACCCTCCAACCCACCCCCTCCCTCCGAACCCCCCCCCAAAAAGGGCTAACATTTGGCGGCCAAAACCACCACCCGGGTCCCCCCAAAAAAAGGCGCCAGCCTTTATTTTTGAACCCCC